ATTGTAGGTATATAATAGGAATATACCTACCAGGGTCCTTGTATTCCATTATATTCCTGCTATATTCTTGGGGTTCCCTATTTGGGGTTCCCAGTAGAGTCCCTTTATTCTAATATATTCCTTCATAAGTGTCCCCTAAAACCCTATTCATTCCCCTATAGGTCCCCCCCAACCTAACTTTAGTCGGTAGCTCATATGCATACTCAACGTCGGAACCTGTTGCTCCTCAGATTTTCCTGCGGTCTGCGGATCTAGCCCTCAACCCAGTTTTTCAAGGAGAAGTCCGCATCCCACTACGTACCCAACACCTTTTCTCCATCTTCATCAGCAAGCCTTTTTCACCTCTAAAACACGATGGAACCCTATTCGTAGCTTTTGGTGGTTGAACCAAGCAAGATTGAATTCTTCTTGTAAACACGTTGTAACCAGAAGGAGGTTGCAGTCTTTCTATTTGAGGTAGACTCCATACACAGGAGGGACTGCTTACATGCCCTAAAAGACCATAGTTCTTATTCTGGGGCCCGCAACACGGAAATTTGGAAGCTCGGAGGACATAGTATGCTCTAAAGAGAACCCTTAAAACTTAGAGTCCCCCTTAAGTGGAGAGAATATGGGATATATGGGGATCTTATGAAAATATACCCAAAGCCATATTCTATCTACTTAAGGGGGACTATAACCCTAACTCGTAAACCCTGAAACCCTAAACCCTGCAAAACACACACCTCCATTGGGCCGAGAGTCTCTTCCGACTCCGAGGCACCCTGAAACTGGTCCAGTGCCGACTGCGCATAGGCTGCCACCGCGGCCATATCCTGGGACATGCTGCTTTGCGTTTAGGGTTTTGTGTTTTAGGGCGTAGGGTTTTAGGTTTTAAGGGCTTAGGGTTTAGGGCTTATAGGGTTTAGGGCTTAGTGTCCTTCTTTTTAGGGCTTAGGGGTGTTTAGGGTTCAGGGTTGTTTAGGGTTTAGGGTTTCAGGCTCGTGGCTCGGGCTTGCAGGCAAATTTAGCTATGCTATGACCGAATGAAGGGGATCCTATTTATAACTATCCATGAACCTGAAAGTGGTGCTTAGTGGGAAATGGCGGCATGGGCTATAGGGACCAACGAATGGAGATTATCTAAAGACATCTACAGAGATCCATGCCCCCATTCTCAACTGAGCTCTAAAACCTAAAGAAGACATGCAGGTTCAATGTTCTTTTCCATCGCGCACTTTCCAAGTAAGTTCCCCGGAACCCTGATAGAACTCATGATCTCAGCTGGTTCTTAGGATTGTAGATACACTGGAAAGAGGTTGCACGAAACTTCTAAATCTATGCACTTGCAGAATCCCATTGAGTCGTAGATTTTGTTGGTGGCTGGGCCAAGTAAGACTAGATTCCGCTTGTAAACACACTTAAACAAACCTAAACTACACAAATAATCCCTATATTACACACCTGTATAATCCCTATACAACCCCAAATAACCCTATAAACAGGACCCAAATTCCCAACAAAGCCAACTAAGCATGACTAAGTGTCGCCGGCCATGTCAGCGATGGCCATCTTTTCCAGGTCCTAGGCTTGGAAATGCTTGCGAGAGGCTTTACTGGTGCTTAAGGGGCAGTTGGGACTGGATCCCCATCATAATCCCTAGCAAAGTTCCCATGGACATATATATATATATATGTATGTATGTATGTATATATATATATGGGTATAAATCAATTAAGATTCCTGGGTTTTGCTCTCTTATATACAATATACATATGTGCATATACACACATATATGTATATTTATACATGTACATACATATTTACATACGGTAACCAGAGCACCCATGCCCAAACCATAATAACATTCGTGGTTCGAGAGCATACGGTAACCAGAGCACCCATGCCCAAACCATAATGACATTCGTGGTTCGAGAGCATACGGTAAACAGAGCACCCATGCCCAGACCATACTAACGTTCGTGGTTCGAGAGCATACGGTAAACAGAGCACCCATGCCCAAACCAAAATAAAGTTCTTGGTTCGAGAGCATTACAACCCCATTACAACCCCCAAACCATGTAAAGGAATCTTAACTAACTATACCCATATGTATGTATGTATACATACATATATATATATACACATGCGTTTATACATATACATATACACATATACATCTGTATATGTATACATATACATATACATATAGTCATTATCATAACCTTCCCTCCCCACCTAAATGCTAGGTGATATTGCAATTTGCATTTGCTTTTCCAATCCCCCCGTCGCTTTACATGTGCACCGGCAAGGCAGTGCCACGCCATGATCTGGGTCATGACGGATGTATGTACAGTGGTTGGGGTTCAGGCTCAAGTTGTTTGTTGGTACCGGGAATGAAGGTATGGCAAAGAAAACAAAAACTACAGTTTCAGGGTTTGGGGCTCAGAAATGGGAAGCAAATGCGAGCTACTGTATTACCAGAGATCACATATTCAACTATTCTCAGGACCCATTCACTTCCCCGCCAACCACCAGTAAGGCAACAGCAAGAAACGCAACAACTGCTAGCACTACAGCATCCAGCCCTGAACCCTAAACGCAAGTAAGGGTTATAGGGGTGAAGGTACCCTAAACCCTAAACCCTCCTAAACCCTAAACCCTGGGTTTGGGGTTTAGTGTTTAGGGTCCCTATAAAAACAAAAACTCATTCGGGTTTGGAGTCTACTGAACGTCTTCATTTTGCTCAGAACTGCTTGGAGTCGGGATCCTCTCTAAAAATATTCCTGAGCCTCGGGTGCAAGCGGTTTAGGATTTAGGTTTTAGGGTCTAGGATTTAGGGTTTAGGGTTGATTTAGGGCTTGGGATTCAGGATGTAGGGGTGCACTGTGGCTATGTAACCTGGATATGACTATTTGCCTCACCATTGGTTGTGCCAAAACAGACACGTTGAGAAACGAAAACCACATGCTTCCCTATGTATCTCTAAAACGTTTTCGGAACGACCCCAACTCCTTAACCCTAAATCCTAAACCATGTATAGGATGAAGGACTAGAACGTACTACTGAATGTACTCATTTCCTGGTGCAAAAAGGGAAGCGGTAGAGGGAATATAGGTACCCTTGCTAGGCATTGTATAAGGAGCAGTACAGGGATCCACTTCTACAATGCGCCTGAATTACCAAAAGCATGAGGAACATGCGTCGCAAAATCTGGGGGCCCCTTCCGTGGTGCCTGTGTCTAGGTTGGAGTATATTGGAACATCAACAGCACCGCCCATTTCTGAAAAGCTCATATTGGAACAAACACGTCTCCTGCTCCCGCACCTGGATTCAGTGCTTGTTTTGCAGAGCTCATACCTGCACATGGAGTACTGTGCTCAATTGTCAATGGGGCTGCGTAGTGCAAGCCCACATGCCTCTCCCACCTGATCATGGGTATGGCATGGTACCCTCTGCAGGGAAGACACTGTACAAGCCTCTGTACAAAGGAAGCTTCCCGCAACGCTGTCGGCAGTTGGCGACAGCTCTTCAGCGAGAGCTCGAAAACTTGATGAGTATGTGCTCACCTGCCCTGCTTCATCATCAGGGAGCGCTTCTTCTGAGTTTTCTGCATTTGGGTCTCCTGTGACACATTTTTTTCGAGGAAAATGTTTTCCATGGGACTGCGATGCCTAAACTTCAATGCACAAGCAACCATAGACATCCCTTTACGCGCATGGCTCCTCGTCACCGTTGGGCTTCCACAGGCCGCGGTGGAGAACCTCTGCCGCTGCGTCATGCACCTTCTCCCAGCCATGGAAACGCCCACGCTGGCTCAGCGTGCCCACAGCATTCGGGAAGGCGTGGTGAACCTGCGTTTTTTTTTTTGGCGGTTGGACTGCTGCAACCTGACACGGGTTAACAGCACGGGGAAGGGAAGGTTTTTTTTTGCATTCGGGCTGCTTCAACCTGACACGGTTTTTTAGGCGGTTGTGCCGCTGCAAGCTGGCACGGGCTAAACAGCAAGGCGGGGACGGAAGGCCAGGGAACCAAAACCAGTGGTGAACCTGCTCTGCACTTTCTGGCCGGGACATGCCACCCTCATCCGACTGATTACCGAGAGATGTGCACAATGCTTGCACTGCATCTCGCAAGAACAAGCAAGGCACATCATGGAACAGCATCTCGTTCCAGCGGTGCTTTCCACCGAGAACCTGGCTCCCGATGGCAAAGGGGAACATCCAATCAGCTTCTGCTAGTTACGTTGCCCACAGGGAACCCAAAACTAAATGAGCTCTAGTCTAAACTCCTAGCATCCCCATTAATAGGCCCTACAGTAACCCCGATATATCCCTCTATATAACCCCCTTTGAGGAGTTTAGACCCTGAACCTTCAACCCTAAACTCTAACCCCTAAACCCTACATTATAATCCCCGATACGACCAGTTTTGACTATAGCTCAAATCAAAAAAGCCTACTCCTGGCGTGCTAGGAACAAAGGCCATCACGTTGTGCAACACCGGCCAGGTGCGGGCCGGATCTTGCGCGAGGAACTCGTTCCAAGGAAGGCCTAAAAAAGACAACATACTCTAATTCTTCTCATGCAGATCCCCAAAATGGTACCCCCAGTCTTAGGAAACCCCGAAATGGAAAAACACACCTTATCAAAGATGACTAGGGTCTGTGTGTGAAGTTAGTGATGAACATCCACGCCGCCGAAAACCCAATGCGAGCGAAGAAGGAGACGGTGAACATAAAGCGATAGCCTTCGCTAAGGGGACGCCCCAGCGGGTAGGTGCCGAGCAGCCACACGCAGGCCCACAGGGAGAGGACGAAGGCGTTGTGCTTCACACGGCGCGGTACCCACTTTGTCCAGAACCTCATTTCATGAGAGCAAGGGTTCGAAGACATGTGATGATGTTGCTGTGCAAAATACTCTTGGATTCGGTTATGAGATTCGTGAGATCGCAAAACAGGGTGGGGGATATCTCTGTGTGTGCCCTGTTCTGTTGTAACAAGCCCTCACGAGGACCATTGGGCTGAGAAGCTCCTTGTTGCACTTGCCGCCCGCGCCCTCATCTGGGAAGTGCATCCACCACTCCAGCGCAAAGAGAGAGCCAGTGTCGTTCAGGCCAAAGAAGTGTATCACTGGAATGAACGGCACGGTCAGCAGGTACTTGTACCAGTTGGAGCTCCATGGCCCTGCCCACTGTTGAAGGGCGTAATGGAACTCCTCGGGGTCCCAGCCGAACTCACCCTGGATCAGCAAGTCGACGGTGGACGCATGATGCCTCAATGGATGCTGCGGTGTGAAGGAAAGCAACACGCTGACATGTCGCCCATCCTGACCCGCCCTGCCTGTTGTGCTCCAGAACGAACTCCTCCCATGGCAGGCCTGGGTGGAAATTATGCGCGAACTAGCTCTCGTTTGCGACAATGAGGAAAATTCATAAAACGCCGCCTAAGTGGCTAAAGAAATCCGCAAAGGGGTGCGTGAGGAAGCGCTGCCATTCGTACACAGGGAAAGTGGCACCGTGCATAACATCGTGGTCAATGTAAATCCTTGACGTCAGGATAGGCAAAGCAAGCACTGACAGATCCCCTACCGGGTTCAGGGTAGAAGCCCAAACGCTTCATGCTGCAGAGGCTCTGCTGGATGGCAATGTACGAGAAAGGAAGACCAAAGCACAGCGTGCAGGTCCACCAGTAGTCTGGGAAGCTGGCCAGGGCTCCGCAGTAGGCCAGAACCATTAGCACCTGGCACGTGAAAATGGCCTCGACTTCTTTGAAATGGTAGCAGAATATTGGATTGAATATTGGACATTCTGTGAAGCTGAGCCACTAACCAAATAGCTAGACAATCAAAATTCTACCAAGAGCAGCAAGGTTTCTGTGAGAACATTCCACATGTAGATCATTTGTTCCTTTTTCGCACAGAAAGTTTCAGGCGCTAAAAATGATAGAAAACATCCAACGTTGGTACTAATGTACAATGACAAGTACTGATAGGATAAGAAAGGCTGATCCTGTGAGCTACAATCTAAACTTTTCGTATCCCCCTTGATACACTCCCGGAAACTAACATGGAAACCCAAAAAGGGCCCTATAATGACTACAGTCCTTCTAAAATGGGGGCTATATGGGTTTCCATGTTAGTTTGGGGGAGTGTAACCCCTAAGATACTCCCCTATATAATTCCGATATAACCCCCCTTTAAGGAGTTTAGATTATAGCTCATGTGAGAACCGTGCTGCTGGAGTGATCTTGGTGAAGAGGAAGGCCAGGTTCTGCGGCATAGGGTCCGGCTTGTTCGGAGTTGGGAAGAGCCGATTGGTCTTGAGGCTCCTTTTGGCCCACATTACCCAGGGTTTAGGGTTTAGGGCTGAGGGTTTAGGGTTTAGGACATTACCCGGGCATATGGAGATAATGGAAAATAAAATGGAAACTACGATAATGGGGATTATATAGGGATATAATATATTGGGATTTTACACGAATCTAAGGAATCCCATTCCCAAAAAAGTATAAAAGATCCCTAACATTGATCCAGTCCTATTCTCATCGTTCTTCTGAACTGAGAGCATCTTGTCGCTGCTGGGCGCAATGCCTGCTGCGTTGGGATCTCCCTCTCCGGGAAGCGCATTCTTGAGAGCTGCGATCTCATGGTCGCTCTCCTCAGCCATGAAAGGGGCAGGGGAATGCAATCTTGGCCACAGGAAACTCTGGTCTCTCCTGAGCAAAGAAAAACTGTGAGGCCCTTCCAGCTGTTAATAGACAGCACTGCACTGCAATCTGGCACACCAGCTTTGGAAGGATGTTGTCAACTGACAACACTGCAATGCAAACTAGCACATTTCTACTGAGGCGATTTTTGCCAGTAGTTGTCTGTGCTTGAAATATAAACTATCACGAACAAAACTTCAAAGCTTCTCCAAGAAGAGCTCAGCTTCGTACTTGCGCTTCAGCTCCTCGAGGTACTCATCTGCACCATAGAAGATCGAGGCCTTGGAGTGGCCCTGGCCGAGGTCACAGATGTTTAGATCAGAATAGTCCAGCGTGGTAGTAGAATTTGCACATTTCGAATGTTGTTACCTCATGGCCCTTGTATGACTATAGCAGAAGAAAGCCCAACACCTGGAACCCTTAACCCTTGTTTGGAGTTGCGCTTAACGCGACCTTGCCCTCCTTGGCCAAGAGTGGTGCGCTGGTCGCCATGGACAATGGCGTTGGAAAAGGGTAGTCAAATTACTTGCTGAGCCAAAAGAATCTGTGTAGGGCCAGGTAAGTATATCTCGAAACCCTAATGTCATCTGTATGGACTTTATGGATGTTACCTAGCTACAACTTGGGCCTTTTCCTAGCTAGGTGTAGCGGAAACAGGCCTGGCTTGCTTACAAACTCATAGATGTTAGATGGCGCTGCCACCCAACAAATGCAGCCCCAACACCAATCAATCACAGACGGCAAGGACAGCGACGATGTGGATTTCAAATTCCAGGGCCACTTGTTCTGCACACTCAGGGGCAAGTCAACTACCCTATTGGATGCAACGACATCCCCATTCCTACTCCTGCTACCACTACCACCACATCACGACAATAATCTTAAACAACAATGCTCCTGCTCCTCTCCTCCTGCTGCACCTGCAACTACCATTCCAACCCATGTATGCATGTAAGTTCACATGGTCATCACTTCTTGGGCTTTCTCCAAACACTGCAAAGATGTTGACTTGACAAGTCTCGTCTTCGTTCTGGCTTCGGCCGGTCATCAGGCCTGAGGTTGCACACATGACAAGATGATCTACATTCCATGGCTGGTGTGTTCATAAATAAAACCTTGAAATCTGTGATTGGGGTCTGAGATTCAGAGTTGCGATCATCATGATAGGAAAAGCGGTTCTATTGACCATCCAGGCACGTGCAGCAACGTTGTGGGGGTCCACCCGCTTAGGCCTGCTGTAGGCTCGTGGTTCCACCTGGGAAATGTACAGGAGGCACTGAATAGCAGCAATGGCTACAGCCGTTGGCGAGTTGTTGCAGCATGGGCAGTGGATCAAAGAAGCCGTAGCAGGGGCAGCAGCGGAAGCAGCGGCAAGCGGCAAGCGGCAAGCGGCAGCGGCAGCTGCTGTAGTTGTAGCTGTAACTGTAGTTGCAAAATTGTGCTGCTCTTGCGTTGGGAACTCTTAGCTGCACTAATCCTATGATCACATTTGTTGTTTCATGAGGCTAGGAGGAACATGTCGTACATGGCTTTGCATGACACAACGCCCACCTGTCTCGCAGATGATTGAGGTCCCACAAGAATTACTTACTGGGCCTTAGCAGGGAAGAAGGGATTTGTATATGCTGTCATTCCCTACTAACCCTAAACCCTATACAATATATGTGTGTATGTATATTCCCTCACTTACTCCCTACTTACCCTATGTAAACCCTAAGCCCACACATATTTTCCCTTATTCCCTACGAACCTCGAGTAAGAGTAGCATTTGGCAACATCAAGGTGGCCCGGCTATACCCAGGGTTTCGGAATTAGGCTTTAGGATTTGGGGTTTA